GGTTTGCTGGTGTTGAGTCCTTATCTACCTCGTTGGCATCTGGGGTTCCACAGGGCTCAGTTTTGGGGGCCCTGCTTTTCTCTTTATATTTACTTCCTCTTGGTTGTGTTTTTAGAAAACATGGTGTTTCTTTTCATTGTTATGCGGATGATGTGCAGATGTACATACCAACGAGGGGAAGGGATACATCATCGGTTGTATCATTATTGTCATGTTTCAATGACGTTAAGAACTGGATGGCTTTGAATTTATTGAAATTAAGATATAAAAACTGAGGTGTTATAGTGTTTGTCCCAAATAATTTTGGTGACTCTTCCCCAGATGATCTAGGTTGCTTGCAGCAGTATGTGCAGTCGACTGTTACAAGCCTAGGTGTCAAAATAGATTCCAATTTTAGATTGGAAGATCAAGTGAACGCGGTTGTAAGGGCTAGCTTTTTTTCACCTTCGACAACGGGCAAAGGTAAGGCCTTTTCTTTCACGGCAGCACTTTGAGACAGCAATACATGCGTTTATTATGTCTCGCCTGGATTATTGTAATGTGCTCTATTTTGGGCTTAGTCAGAAGTCCCTTGCCTGTCTTCAGAGGGTTCAAAATGCGGCTGCTCGTTTACTGGTTGGGGGGCGCAAAGGGGAGCGTATCACTCTCATTTTGGCTTCTCTTCACTGGCTGCCGGTGTATTTTAGAATTCATTTTAAGATTCTTTTATTTGTTTATAAGTCTTTAAATGGTTTGGCCCCCTCTTATCTTACAGAGTTGTTGCGTCCCTATAGTCCTTCTCGGTGCCTCAGATCAGCTGATCAGCTGCTTCTGGAGATACCGAGGGCTAGGCTGAGACTTAGGGAGGACAGGGCTTTTGCTGTGGGGGCTCCAAAGTTGTGGAATGCATTGCCCCTATACATCAGGCAGGCCCCCTCGTTGTCCACTTTTAAAGTGTATTTGAAAACTCATCTGTATCTTTTGGCATTTGATCTGGTATGAGGCTTTGTTTTGTTAAGGTTTTTTTGTTTAATGATGGGTGGTTGTTTAATTGTAATTTTGTTTTATTGTTGTGTTTTGTGTTAAGCACTTTGGTCAGCTGTTGCTGTGTTAAATGTGCTATATAAATAAAGTTGATGATGATGAATAGCTGGTACTACTGTGTAAGTGGATAGTGTTGATGTTAATTCTTAAACTGTGATGCAGAATGTTTGTTACCTCAGTCCAGAGGAATATTGAAAAATATTTTCCTATAGACTCAAAGGACTTGTCTCTAAGAGGCACAGTCGCAGACAGTCTGGACATACATTCACCTCATTTTTTGATCTTTAGGTCACATCTAAGATGATAATTCACTGTCGTAACATTGTAGATAAGTCAGAAAACAAGGAAAAGCTCCACGGGCCCTTTAATAAATAAATAAAGTTATGAAAGTCTTCGTATCTGAACCAGCTTCAGACTCTGCAACTCTCTGACACTGTCAGGCTAAACTAGTTACAAAATAAATATGCAATAAATTATTGGTAGGCCTATATAGTTTTTTAAAATAGCTTTTATTCTTCAGTTTGTTTTTCTATTTCACTTCAGTTCACAATAATAGTAATATTATAATTACTATTCTATTACTTGGTGTCTGCTATCATTTCAGCGTGGCCTCAGGAGGAGTACATCGTGGAGTATTCTTTGGAGTACGGCTTCCTGCGTCTGTCTCAGACCACCAGACAGAGACTCAACATACCTGTCATGGTCGTCACTCTGGGTCAGAGACCCCTGCATACCTGCCTCACAGTCACATAATGGGTGTAAAGGTGGAGGTGTTGGAGCTGGTATTGAAACCGTGCCTCTGTGTGTTTAGATCCCATGAAGGACGAGTGTTTTGGTGACCGCTTCAGTCGTTTTCTGCTTGATGAGTTTTTGGGCTACGATGACATCCTGATGTCCAGTGTAAAGGCGCTGGCTGAGAATGAGGAGAACAAAGGTAGGACAGCACTTAGTCCTTTTTTAAAGCCAGTGGTGAAAACAGAGAAATAAATGTTCCTTTGATCCCCTACCCTGATAACGAACTTGGATTCCTGTGATCCCCACAGAGCCCAAGTTCTCTAATCCTTTGCTTCAATTATAGAACCAGGCTTTGGGCTTACCTGGCATCGGATAAATCAGGTTAGAGCAATAAACCTCGATGATGTGTGGTTCTTTACAGGGTTCTTGAGGAATGTGGTTTCTGGAGAACATTACCGCTTCGTCAGCATGTGGATGGCCAGAACCTCCTACCTGGCTGCCTTCGTCATCATGGTCATCTTTGTAAGTAAACAAGCCGTGTTTAATGTTGTTTACTGAGGCTATGAAGGCTGACAGTGTTACTCACTCAGCTTCTAAATAAATAAAGTTGAAGGTTTAGGTGTTAAACCAGAGTTTACAAAAGTTACAAAAGTTATTATTACGTGATGTGTAATATTTTGGTCAACAGAGATGAGTTGATATTTGCTTTGTGTTTTTCAGACTCTGTCAGTGTCCATGCTGCTCAGATACTCTCATCACCAGATCTTTGTCTTCATTGGTTAGTTTCCTCTGACACCTCACATCTAGCAAACATCAGTCCAGACCAGACCAGACCAGACCAATTTATTGTAGTCCAATCTAATCCCGTCCATTTAAGTGTAGTTCAAGTGGAGCTGTTAGAGAACTTTGATGCCTGATGTGACTGTTGATGTTCAGTTTAATAATACAATAAACATTATAAAGGTGTAAAAAATACAGTTCAATACTTAGTTACAGACGGTGTCATTAAACCATCAGCTGGTCAGCCCTGAACCTACATGTTTATATCACTCTATAAAAACCTGATTTCTCTCACCCGGAACAGTTGTGTTAATCTGTTTTCTCTCTGGCTCCCTCAGTGGATCTTCTTCAGATGCTGGAGATGAACATGACCATCGCATTCCCAGCAGCCCCTCTGCTCACCGTCATCCTGGCCCTTGTTGGTAAGTGCACATCCTGGGAACCTGTTCAACCTATTTACACAGCTCGGATCTTGTTCTGATCCAGGTCTCAGTCTGGATTCCCTTTAAATTCAGAACATCTGGTTTAAATTGTTGACCTGGTTCACAATTCAGAGAGGCAGCAGGGAACATTTTCTAAATCTTCTCTGATTGCTCAGTTCACACTGACCAGGCAGAAATCTGTTTTTCCAAATGAAATCTGGCTGGGAGAGATAGCCCTCATGTTCAAGTCCCAAGTCAAGACTGCCAGAACTGAAATCTGGTCTTAGTTTTGAGTTCCAAATCTGGTTGAGGCAACAGAGCTATAGAACCAGTTAAGTCAAAAATCAAGAAAGATCAAGTCCCGAGTTGAGTCAAACAGGTCTGTAGGACTAGGTCCTTAGTCAACTCAAACGAAATACAAGTCTTGACAGCCAGGTCCCAGGTCAAGAAGGACCAGGTACTAAGGTGAGACTGAAAATAAGGTTTCTTTTGTGGCTTTTTGAGATACTTCTTGATTGAAATTGTTGGCTTCAGTGTTGTATGAAGCAGCTCAAGCACAGTTATGCTGACCAGCTGATCACATCACATGTTGTCATCAGGTATGGAGGCCATCATGTCAGAGTTCTTCAATGACACGACAACTGCCTTCTACATCATCCTCATTGTCTGGTTGGCCGATCAGTATGACGCCATCTGCTGCCACACAAACACCAGCAAACGACACTGGCTGAGGTGAGTCACATGACCAACAGCGGCTCACACCTTTGGCTCATTTACAGTACATCCAATGACAGTGCACGATTAAAAATGCTAAAATACGCTAAAGTTATTATTAATTCATCAATAAAACAAACACAAATTGGAATCAGATTTAGATAAGTAATTTGTGCATTAATTTGAAAAACTTAACGCTCCTCTACCTTCAGCCTAGAGGGTCTAGTGAGATTCAAAGCATACTGACACCATAAGGCACTCCTCACTGCTCTCTGCCCCTCCTGTCCTGTTTGCTGAAGCTACAGCATGAACTACAGATGCCTGGTTGGGACAAATTATTCAAAATGTGGCCTCCAGTCTGAAGCTAGCATTAGCTGGCTAACAGTAAACATGTCAGTCCAGTAGAACACTCTGGTTACTGCTGATGTGACACAAAGCGCTGACTTTATGCAAAGCTCCAGTTACTCCCAAATTAAAATTGTATTAATTCAACACAAAGGTAAAGTCGTGGCCATGCTAGGTGGTTATTGTTATTAAAACAAACATGTTAGACAAGGCAGGTTTATTTATATAGCACATTTTCATACACTAAGGCAATTCAAAGTGCTTAATGCAATACACACAGAGATATACAGCATTGAAATGCACATTAAATAAAAAAAAAAATTAAAAGCAGCGAAGCACAATAGCAGCAACATGGGGGGGCAAGCCAGTCGCTGGGTTCCTCTTTGTGGCAGCTTTTGAGGGGGTGGGGGGGGCTCCTCAATTTCCTCTCCTAAATTTCCACATATATTTGGCAAATACATGAATGATTTAGGGTGTTATTAAAGTTAAGGTGTTTGTAAATATGTAAGTATTTTCATCTGCTAACTGAGTTTTTATTTCAGTTCAGAGATATTTAGCAAGTTTACCAGATTTTGACAAATTTATGCAAATGTGTACATATATGAAGGGATTTTTTTTAAAGGAATAAAACTCCTTTTTTTAAGGGACCTTAATTTTTTGATTAAGGTTCAATGCAGATTCTGCATTAGTGAACCAAATAAACAGTTTATGCATTCATTGTTCACTTAAAACTCCTTTAAATTATTTAACCATATCGTTATTACTGGGTGGATCTGTGTTCTTTTAAATTTTAAAAAGTTAAGGGATTTAGTTTGTGTGTGAATGTGTAATCGAATGAGAGGATTGTTTGTGTTTTCAGGTTCTTCTATCTATACCACTTTGCTTTCTACGCCTATCACTACCGCTTCAACGGTCAGTACAGCAGCCTGGCCCTGGTCACCTCATGGCTCTTCATCCAGGTCAGAACCACCATCATCACCCTCTTCATACTGACCCTCACCTTTTTAATAGTGTCCAGCTTTTGCTGTTACTTCATCAGTGTAAAATGTGTCAGTATATAGTGTTTAAGTTAACGTCATGCTAACTAGCTAGCTACATTACAAGGAAGCACCAGGAAGCACCTGGTGCGTCCACAGCAGTGTGAACAGACCAGACCAGGTGTTCTCAGACCATGTCTGGGCCACCTGCGTATGTGCTCCTAGACCCGATTCCTCTCTGACCTCTGACAGTTTGAGCGCCGTCAGAATGGTCAGATCAGAATTTATGTGGTCGTTTTAACGTCTCCTTATCTGCACATACGGCCTGTCGTCATCATTTGGTGTCGGCCCCTCACAGACCAGTAACAGTTAACATGGAGGAGAGCGAAGACAGCAACGGGGTCAGTGGAGAGGCCAGCGCTCCCTAATAACCCCCAACAACTTCTTAATAACCCCAGTAACTCCTAATAACTCCTTAATAACCTTAATATTATTATTAAATTCTCTAACAAGTTTCATAAAGTATCAGTTGTTTTTATTTCAGGTGAGGCAGACACTGCAACTGTCACTAACGATTTGGTTCTTTTTCTTATTCAGCACTCCATGATATATTTCTTCCACCACTACGAGCTTCCTGCCATCCTTCAGCAGATCAGGATCCAAGAGATGCTGCTGCAGAACCAGCAGGCGGGTCAGGCCAACCAGACGGCCCTACAGGACAACCTTAACAACAACAACAGCGCTGCTGCTGTGGCAGGAACAGGACACCCAGGACCCAGCAGCACCACCCAGCCTCAGACTGACCCCCAGCCATCATCCTCCTCCTCTCCAGCAGCAGGTCATGGCGAGGAGGTGAGGTCAGAGCTGAACTGGGTCACTCAGACGGCCGCCATCATCACGGAAGCTTTGTCCTCCTCTGTCCAGCACCCCTCTGTTGACTCCATCGAGCACAATGGACCCGCAGTGCTCAGTGGAGTCAACGGAGGGGGTGCGACTGGAGATCCCGAGTCAGCAGGAGCAATCAGTGTGGTGGCTGAGTTCTGGGTGGGAGGTGGAGGAGGAGCAGGAGGAGGTGACGATCCAAACATTCTTTCAGTAGAAATTAAAACCACAGCAGGAGGAGCTGATCCTTCACCCAGCCCTCTGCCTGGAGGGCTGCAGGTGGCAACAGGGCCCTCGGAAGTGGAGCCCTCAGCAGCCCCTGTGGCCCCCCCACAGACAGACTGCCCCCCCTCACAGAGTCCAGGTACAGACTGGGACTGCAGACCACCACAGCAGCAGAGCTCCTCGCAGACCCTGTCCTGAGAGTCTGTGTCCAAGTGTAGACCTGCTGATGCCATCACACCTATCCAACACTGTGCCTCTGTCTGTCATCTGATCAGGGTGATTGCTAAGTGATTGGCTGATTGGAGAGCGGTTTTCCCCACAGATCCACACCTGAACTCAGATCTGAAACCAAATCGCCAGCTCCAGTTCAAACCAGTCAAACCTACATTCTTTATTTAGAGGGTCAGGACCTGCAAGAGTTCACAAAAAAAAAAAGCCAATGGGCTCACAAGTATGTAACAGGACAGGAAATGTTTGTCACACAGTAATTTCTACTTTTTCTTTTTTTGTTCTAGTTTTTGCTTTTTGCTTGTGAGTTCCCACCTATAGGCCCCTAACAGTCTTTAAATTAAACCATCAGTTGAGGAAAAGCTGTGGTTTAACTGGTTGTTGAGATCAGGTCTGGCAGCATTTTATGAATCTCATTCATCCACATTACTTTGAAAACTCCTCAAGATGAAGTCAGAAACCTGAAGAAATTCAGGTTACTGTCATAGAAAACAGGAAAAGCCTCAAATGAGAAGCTGCAACCAGATAATGTTTGGAACAATTATCAAGATAATGGCTAATTCACTTGATTGACTAAGCACTGCAGCTCTATAGCAGACAACACAAGAACATTGCCATTCATCCTCAGGTTTTCTGTCAGCTTGACTAAAACTTTAGCTGCCACTAATGATTATTTTCAGTTGATCCTGTTGTCATCGATTCTGTCGAAATCTTCAAATATTTAATTTTTGTCTGAAAAGATAATAAATCTACTGTTACGTAAGGCAAATAAAAACGTATTTTGGTTGGAAAATTAATCTAATCTACTATTTATATATTTGGGATTTGCTGTTCTGTCGATCAACTCAGATTAATTGGCTAATTTCTTCCACTTTAGATACGATGTTTTTATTTGAGCAATACGTGAACACAGTATAAACTAACATAATAAAGACATGGGGCCACGTGATTCAGTAAAAGTTGATGACTACAGTGTTCAGATTCCTCTAAAATCTTTAAATCTGATTAGGCAGTTTGTGCAGTTCTAATCCAGCCTCAGATCTGGGGATTTCATCTGGTTTCTGCTGTTTTCTCTCCTTGTTTCACCTCAGCATCACTTTGGAATATAGCACTGGTGATCTTCTGTATTTAATCCCACATTTAAAATCAAATCAGCAGTGAACACCCCCTCCTAAATACGGAATCTCTCCTCCCTTTGTGCCTCAGAGCTCCACTGTGTCCAGACACCATTAAACCCATCAGTAACCACACTGGCTGACATGTTCCTTCACCACCATGAGCACACAGACTGTAGTTTATTCAGACTCGGTCCCCCACACACTGTCCTACTGCCACTAGGGGTGTAAATCACCACTCTCATCACAATGAGATCCTATATTGATTCCCTTTGCCAGCGACCTGATGTTTGCTGATGCTTAAAAATATGCCACAATGTGATTTCGATTCAGGGGCTTGCGATTCATATCATGCGATATCATCTGTCTATTTCACACAATTCAATTTTTATTACTTAAAATGTAACTGAAGTATAATTTTAAAATTGTATTGAGCTCTTCTGTTCACCTTTAAGTGCTATTTAAATACAAATAAGGACTAGTGGTGACTGTCCAATTCAGCAGCCTTTTTTGAGATAGGAAGGGTTTACATTGTCGCCTACAATCGCAAGAAAAAGTCATTGCCCTGTTTGCAGCTTCCTGGTTTTCTTCATATACTGGTTATGAAATGTGATGTGATCTTCAGCAAAGTCACCAACATCAACAAACACAGCATTTCTAAGCTGATAAAACACATCAGTCCTGATCTTTCATGTCTTTATGGAACACATTAAACATACACAGTGATGTTGGACAAAGTCATGGCAACATCAGGCTTCTGATGTCACTAAAGATCAGCTGGAGTCAGGTGTTAACAAACCTGGAGTCCAGTCAATGCAGAAAACTACAAACAGGGCCATGACTTTCATTTGTTCTTGTGAGCTGGAAAAAATATTTACTACATTGCAGTGGGAGTTTTGTTTAAAACACAGCATTCAGACTTAGTGCTGTGTGTGAATACTTCACAGCCATGACCTGTGACCTGTTCCCGATGGGCGAGTTTACCTGTATTTGCCTTGGCTGCTACAGGTCAAGGCCAGGTCTCAGAGAAGGCGTTTTGTCACTGGCCCCTCTCACCTGGTCACCGTCCTACTGAGAGACAAACAGCTGTTCTGACGACAGCGGCGCCGCATGGAGGTCGGAATTGGCATGGACTGAATTGAGCAAAAGCTTCAGCAGCTTATGCGCCACTCACATCTCACTTTCAGTGTGAATTCCCAGTGTCAGAGTGCCAGCTGTATCGCCTGATGCTTGTTGTCCAGTTTGAAAAA